CCAATCCTTTACTATAAATATAGTAATATATATACAGGTTGTCCTATTTTAATTGATCCACCGGACAATGTCGGAATATTGACGTCACGCAAAAAAAATTGTTCAGGCAAATGTTGTTCAGGTGTAATGTCGGGCCATTTATTATCAATAAATTATTTTTTTTTCCTCATGTACTTTTGCGTAGCTTAAATTTTAACTCCGTAAACGAGCAAAGGAGAGCATTCAGCTGAAGCAGCTGGAGGACACGTGAAAATAGCCGTCCCTTTGTCGCGCGCTTTCCGAATTTTACCTCGAACGATCGTAAAGTTTTTTTTTAGTAGGTTTAGATATAGAGTAAAGGAGCCGCGGAATTCCGCCTGCATCCTGTTATTCGATTTCACCCAAAAGTTTTCCACTTTTAGAAGCTAAAACTTTTGCTATATAAAAAAAATCTTTATAATTAATTTTACACAAATGAATCGGGAAAATAATAGCATGATAGGAAAATTTCGCAGCTTCTTGAAACCTCCCACACACTTTTTGATTAGAAACATAGTGCCGCGCAATCATTGAAAATAACTCAAAGTTTTGAAATTATAAATTAGAAAATGAGGTAAATAGTCGAAAACAGTTACTTGAATGAATTTTAGCAAATCAGTTATACAGTCCACAATTAAATAATACCCCTTTTTCGTTCCATATTATTCAAACAACGAAGTGAGTTAATTAATTAAGTTACTAATTATAAACATGTAGGATCAAAGATTTTCGCGTAAAATATATTAAATAATAAGAAACTTGCGTTATTTTTAAGAATTAATTGTAATAATTTTACGTAATAAATAAATTAATAATTATAAGAAAAACTGTAATAAAAATGGTACTTGGAGAGTCATCTAGCGAGATAAGGCCCAAACTCTTGAACGCGCGCCCCCAATTCTAACCACGCCCCTGAACCAATTAGGGCCCGAAATCCGAAAGAGAAAAGGAGGGAAAATCTCGGTCAGCCAATTAGAATTCACTGGCATTTCCACTCTTCCTAAATTTTGAGGGACTGAAAGAGGGATTTTCCTCCCAACCACCCCCAGGGTTTAAAAGGGCGTGCGCAAGCGAAAATCGCTCTCTCTCGCTCCTCGCAAGCTTCTAAGTTCACCTCGTTCGACCAAGTGCCAGGTCCAGATTCATCTCTCCAAGTACCAGTACATTGAATAAAAAGAAAAGTAAGTTGAAACTAAAATTTTTTATCACTATCTCTCCTTTTCCTCTTCTTGTTAGAGTAGCCAATCGAAACTCGTGAGAAATAGGTCTTCGAAAAGTATTTCAGCAGGAATTGGGATACTTTTCTATAAGACAGTCGCGCCATTAAACAAAATTTAAATTCTTTTTATGTGATAATTCCGGCAAGGTTTGGGATTTTCACATCCAAGCCCCGATTCCATTGGACCCTGGTGTTTGATGGAAGGCTTGTAGTCAAGTTTTATTTTTCACTCTTTTTACGCGAAACACGAAGTAGAAAAGCTCTAATTCTCCAATTGCTCGTCCCGGTTTAAGCGTACGCACGCAAACCAAATAGAGCGCCTGAGATTACGTCCGCCTCAGACGTATCTGAGATAGTGACCCGGACGTCACACAGGACAATGAGGTCCACCTGACTGACAAAATTCATTGTACCTTAGGAATGATTTTCAAGGTTATTTAAAGGTCAATGTAATTTTTTAAATGAAAACCCCTAGTTTTGAAATTTTATAATTTAGGGAGATAAAAAATGTTTAAAAAATCTGTCACTTCCCGGAGAAAAATGCCAGTACGCGTGTCGGTTTTGACGAAAATAATTTTTTGACCAGTGATTCAGATACAGCTTGATAAAAGCTGAAAAACGATCTGATTAAAATTTTTATAAGATTTTTTTTCCATATTTGGTAAATTTTCAAAGTTAGCAAAAAAATTTCTCAATTTTCAGTGTTGAATTATTGCTTGCAAAAAATTGAAAAACGATTGGTGATATTATTTATAGATCATACCATTTGATAACTCTTGAAAAGACTTTTTAAACGCCCTCCCCCCCGGGCGCCTCTATACGTTAATTTTTACCAGAGACAATGAACCTTAAAGTTTTGACTAATTTTGCAGCGGGGAGCCTAAAATAGGTAACCGGCAGTATACTTCTTCGAGAAGTACTGGAAGATGGTCTCTAAGCAACTATATAAAATTATTTCTATCAATATTATCATTGAAAAAAAAGGAACGTATTAGGTATATCCGTTCACAATTCCACACTACACATTAAGGTCTCAGCGATTGTGGTTATCGACTTGTCTGTACCAATGGGCATTAACATCCGACCAATAGTGACAAATAAGTCTGTTGAAATCTCCGTTGTTTTTGAATTGCGCTTCGTTTTCGATTTTGATTTCAAATTTCGATTTGAAAACATAACAAATCAAAAAAAATCTGTAAGCGTATCTACATATCCATAAGTGTAACATTCCGTGTTAAAATAATACGATATGGATGATAACATAGACTGCGGAGTATTCGGCTAACAGTTTATTTAGGAATTCCATATTGCATTTCGATTTGATAGGTACTGATGTAAGGATTTAAGTAAACAGCTGCCAGAGTAATATGAACATAAGATTCATCATAAATAAATCGTAGTCTAACACATCTTTGACGCCCTTCTCCAGATCTTTAATAAATATTTCGAATGACAGTGTGGTTAGGATATCTTCTGTCTGAATCTCGATAAAGAATAGCAGCCTGTCGATACTTACGGTGACATTTGCCAATAATCATTAGGCTAGCGACCTTTTCATACTGTTGATAATCTGCCACAATTTTAATCGAAATTATAAGTAGATATTTTTAGAAATTGCTTTCCAATTTTTAGAGGACTTCTAACTCAGGAGCTTTTAAGTTCTTAAAGTAAATTAAGGATTAATATATTCGAAAATTTAATAAAGGAATTAATACGAATCAGGTCAAGTGTATGGTATTTTTAAGTTATGAAAGTGTTCGAGGTTGCTAATGTTGCTAATTTTGCTAAAGCGAATTTAAGGAATAGTGATTCAAGTATTTTAAAGTATTTCAAAGTCTAAATTTGAGTATTTCGAAGAGAGATTCAAGTATTTTTGGAGCTCTGTGACAATATTGTATGCTGTATGTTCCGAAGTCGGTTATCGAAAATTGATAATTATCGAATTGGTAAGTATCAAATCTAGTGTAAAAAGAAGGAGTTTTTATTAAATAAATCACTTTGACCTTGCAATGATCTCGAAAATCAATCTCAAGGTCACAAATGATATGATACAAAGATGGCGCTAATTATCCTGAACATCATTTTCCAGCACAATTTTTTCGGATAACGCTAACTTTTCGAGATTTTTCGATCGATCGATTAAAATGGCATATCCTATAGAATTTAATATTAAAATGACTTTCAAAGGATCATGAAAAAAATTTGAAATACAGTTTTAGACGTAAAATTTTCCGTTCTTTCCAAATCCGGTCTTAAAACTAGATTTACATTTACAAAATTACCTTCAAATGATTAAAAATTTTTCTGAAGGTCAAAAGTATTTAGACCGTAGCACGAGTGACAGAACCAGAGGAAATTCCTAATTGGTTAGTATTTCACCGGTTGAAGCTATACTAATTTATCCTAATCGCATGCCGCTTTTATCTTCTCGTTCGCGTTATCGATTCGCTATTGAAATCGCATTTCAGTATAAGCGCATTACAATTTTATATTATAAAGAATATTACTCGGTACAGTATAAAATGTATATAATTCTGTTACGTATTCAATAGAGTAATATTTTTTTTATCTAAATAATGAAATATTGAGATTAGAAAATGACTGTCAATGAATGTTCTGATGTAAGTGAATATAAGTATTTGCAACAGTAATCGATTCGATCAATCAATACGTACAGTAGCACTCGCGATGCTACAGCGAACGTCTAAGAGAGAGAGGGGGCGCGCGAGAGTTTAATTTTTGAGATAAGCCTCAGCTATTGTTTGTGAGAGTACAGCCAAATAGATTTCTACTGTGTTTTGCCGTTTGCCCATCAAAAGTTTTCTTAGTTTTTTGATTGGTACGAGTGCTAGAATAAATAGCAGCAGTATTCACAGGAGCAGCAAGCGAGCAGCAGCATTAAGCGCATCAACAGCCAATTCGCAGCGAGGAGAACCAACGCAGCTGTTCCTGGAAAAATTTCGATTTTCTTCAACAATTACAGCTGATCACGATAATTGCACCGCAGGGTAGGTGTAACTCCCTTTTTCTGCGCGACAAAATACTTACGAGAGTATTTTGTCTATCGCGACCGTTTATGTGTTCGCGCCGAGCGTTAGTTTTCGCGGTAGAATTTTATATTCTCTATCTCTCTCTCCCCGTATTATTGAAAAGTTGTAAATCCTATTCTCATGCGCAAGTCTTTCGGCCCTACGAAGACTGAATTTTTTTTTGTCATAAACGATCTTAATTTTATTTGCCATATTACGTTATTTCATTCCCTTTTAGTTTAATGGATCCGTCACCCGTTAATTTTTAAACTAATTTCATCTAGGGGATAGTTGGAGTAAACATTAGGTCACACACACCTAAGATAGATCGAGTGTCACATTCAGATGACTTAAGGTGAGTTTAACTCTGTTGGAAAAGGAAACATTAGAACGAAAGGATCAAACGTAAAGGCGAATACACGTATACGATTACGTGATTAACGGAGCGGTGGTTGGCTCTGCGTTGCGAGAGTTTGTTCTTTAATAAATTCATTTTGTACCAGCTAATCCAGACCGTTACATATTTTACATAATTATAGTAGTATAAAAAAAACATATTTATAGTAATCTTAAGACACTTTATATGTTATATATTAAATATGTAATTGCTTTTATAAAAATAAAAAATTTTATTATAGATTCTATTTTTAATTTTATTTCTCCCAAATGGAGTTTTACAACTATATAACCACTATAATGAATTTTTCAATGTTTGTTAAACATACAATACTTACAATCTGTAGGAGAGCCAAAAGTAGAGTAATAAGATCCTGAACTTGGTGGAGGTCCAGAATAGATGTTATCTGTTTGAGCTGTAAGTATATGCTGATGATGAAATTCAGTCGTAGTTCTTTAATAAAGATAAGGTATTAACACGGATTAAGGAAAATGTAGAGGTGATTGTAAGAAGATACGAAGTGTTAAATAAAATAATTTTAAGAAATGATGCACAAAACAAGTGAAATTTATATGAATATTTTCTTCCGTCGATTATAAATGATGTTTCTGGAAATTTTTTTTTATAATATACTGATAGTTTATTAAGTGTCTATTTTTATTCCAGCAGCACTTGAATTTTTGAAACAGTTCGTAGGTCTTAAAATGGGATATTCCTATTTTTCCTTTAATTTTGTTTAAATATTTGACGCAATTATGTGAATTTCATTTAATTGCACACACCTTAGTATATATAGATCAATTATTAAAAAAATAATTTTGTATCATCAGTATCTAGGATGCATTTGGATTTCAATCACATAAATTCGAATATATTGTAGTTTAAAGGATTGATCTGCTGCAATTCTAGTTTTGAAAATGATAATCTAATTGTCTATAGGTGTTTATATATCTTTATGGAATATAAATTAATGTAATATGCGCTGTATGATATGATAAATGTCTGTAATTAAGAATACAAAATTAAGGACAGACATTTTTACTGCCGGTGACCTACTTTGGGCCCCCGTCACAAAATTAGTCAAAACTTTAAAGTTCTGTTACTGGTAAAAATTAACATACAGAGTCGTCAGGGGCGCGATTGAAAGGTCTTTCCAAGAGCTTTTAACTAGTATGGCTCATTGATTGTTTTTTAATTTTTTGCAAGCAATAATTCAACATTGAAAATTCTGAACATTTTTTGCTACTTTGAAAATTTGCCAAATCTGGAAACAAATCTTATGAAAATTTGAATAAGAGCATTTTTAAGCTTTTATCAAGCTCTGTCTTTTAAGTCTTTAAGTCACTGGTTAGAAAATTATTTCGTCAAAACCAACGCGCGCACGGGCATTTTTTCCGGGAAGTGACAGTTTTTTTTAAACATTGTAACGGGGTAAATACCGTTTAATTAATTTATCCGCGTAATCGTATCGAAAAGCGCATGTAATTACCTATGTTAAATACGAAAATCGGAGAGCAGGAGGGAACGGGTGTCAGTCAACCAACTATCTACAAATACGAGAAGAACACTTCGAAAGTACTCTTAATATCACATACGAGAACTTTTATTACCTCTTAACATTACATCGTATTCGGCCCGCGTGTTTATGTTTACATGCCGCGCGCACGACAACAACATGCAGTGTCGGATCGCTCGCCGCTCTTTGTTTGCCGAGATGTTACATGCACGCTTTTTGTCGAATCGAGGGATTAGTCGTGTAGCAATTATATCGCGACCGCGAAATTAAGCTGGCCAGCTTACCTTTTTTTTGCAGTCGTACGAAGAACGAAAGAAATGGTTCGCACTCTCGTTGCGGGAAAATCTGTCTTTAATACGAGGAAGCTCGCGTTTTTGGTTTCGCCCTCGCTGGCGAAACTCCTTATACGCGCACTCTCACACACACGCTTTTCAGACAGGCGGAGGCACCGCTGTCACAGCTCCGACTCGGCTCGTATCGGCACTCCGGAAAAGCTTGGGAAATGTCAAGAGTCTTGGTAGCGCAGCTATGCGATCGGGTTCTAATTCTCGACTTTTGGCTCGTGTATCGGTAGCTGCTTCGGCACTTTCGGCTAAGCGTGTCGATGGCTGATCTTTCACTGGTTCGTTTTGAATCACGCGCGTTCCGCCTCGTCGCGTGCCGAATTCCCTCATTACATTTTTCGTCTACCGGTAAGTGCTGCCCCCGCAGGCAGCCACTAGATTAGGCTATTAGCGCTAATTCGACGTTTACTGTCACAGCCCCCTTCCAGTCTGGACCTACGGGGTCCTCGACGATAACAATATTAGCGCTGTCCCTTCTGAGGTGGAGAGGAGAAAGGATAATAAATGGTCATAGTCCATTTCGAGCAATTTTTTATTTGGAGAAAGTGTGTGTGCGGCCCTGCCCACGGGGGAAGGGATCGTTCACCTGGCTGGTCTTGTCTGTTCTTCCTGGCCTTCTTCGTCTAACGGGGGACGCCCGCGTGCCTCCCATCCCAGCCTCTCCTGGACCAGGTCGACGTGTTGCCGCACACGGGGACAGCGGTCTGTACGGGTCACCCCGGGGTAATGGCACACGTTGCACCCTTCTCACTGAGCGCGGGAGAGGGTGCCCCGTGGAAGGCCTCGCTCTCTGGGAGTCAGTGGCAACCCGTCCCGCCGGTTCGGGGCGGACCACAACGGCCTTTCGACCGTGGGGTCCTCCCCCGTGGACCCTACCACAAGATTTATGTGGATGGGTCCCGTTGTTTGGCCCCCATTGCTGCCGTCCAAATTGACCACCAAGTTTACCCCGCACATCCGCGGGCCGTGGTGTGTCGGGGCCCTTGACCCGATCTCCGGAGCCGCTGGTTTGGCTCCGACGGTTGGAGGCTGGGAGAGGCCAATAGTTGTATCACCCGCCGGGCCCTCGGGGGCCTGGCGGTGACGGCGCTGGACCTCTTTTAGTGCCTGCGCGAACTGGCGCCGGCGGGACACCACCTTACTCCAATGATCCATATCATCGGGGCGATGTCCCGCAGCCGTGTACAGATGACAAAGAATAACGCTAGCACGAAAATATAAAGGTAGGCCCGATACTTTCCGGACAGACCTCGTATATTAAGCTGAAAAGAAAAAATGGAATGATTAAAAATAAATATATTTTTATATTTATATCATATAAAAATGCTTGTTATACTTACCACTCTGAAAATAAAAATCAATAAATAATAAAATATAGTTGTTGGCAAACTTATCAACAGAACCGGTGAAGTTTAAAAAATTATAAAATTTATAAAAATTTATTTCAAAAACGCAAGCTTAAATAATTAGTAGAATATATGTACTTACATTTACCATGAATACAACCATGGCATTGTTTGTTGCTATAATTTGAAAATTATCCATTTTTTTTCTTTTTTCAATAATCACAAAAACGACACAATAAATATTCACTTCTTCTAAAGAAAAAAAGAAACTTCTTCTATAGAAGAAATAACGCATTTTACTCTCGTCGACAACTGGCGAACGATTGACTTTGGAAAAGATTTTCCTGTAAAATCGAAATGATTCCCAACCTCTGAATGAAATTCTAGTCATACTGCGAAAAAATCTTTAAAGGAAGAGGAACATTTATTTCGTTTTAGATGGCTAGTATGTGGGGGATTAGCATAACTGAACAAGAGGCTAACTTAAAAACATTATCTCTGAGTAAACAGTGCACTCTCTCGAAGGGCCCACTGGCAGACAAACAGATGTCAAAAATATCGTGAAAACACAACACCTTCATCGTACATCGATTACCTTTAGACGCTTAGCAGGTGGTCTCAAAATTTAGATACTCATCGGAAGGTGTCAAATGCACATCAATTACGTTTTAGCCGCTCAGCATGGAGAGTTACAGGTGTCAAGGTATCGCCAGCCAGCATAAGCTTACTAAGCGCCCTACTATCGAAGGAGAGCGAGAGAGAGAACATCATATAGCTTACCAAACAACCTACCAACTTCTACAGCGTCCTACCTTAACCTCTGTGGGTGGGTGGATGTTTAGGTGGTTGGGTGTTTAGTTGGGTGGGTGGAGGAAGTACTCTGTCGAAAGGCCCACTGGCAGACAAACAGGTGACAAACGTTGATAAATAGGTATCAAACACGTGTCAAACTATCCTAAATACACAACACCTCCATCGGGCGGTCTCTTTATGTCCCAGAACATACACATATCTCTTATACATTAGCGGCATCCTTTGAGTCCCAGAACATACATCGCTTATCTACTCATGGTGAACGTTTCTCTTCTCGAATGTGTAAGGTATCAGTGTATCAGTTATGGCTTTTTAAACTGTACACAATTTAGACAAATACAATATAAAATAAAAATAATATCATTTTGTTTAATGTGTACTGCAATAAAAAGCAAGTTTACACAACGAATATAAAAAGATGGTCCTTTATTAGAATTTTTTGCATTGGCTAATAATAGGTCTTAAGAAAAAGTTGTATGTACCAACTACCTGAATACTTTTGTAATCTTTTAAAATAAATGTATCTGATATTTGTATATAATGCAGTAAGTTTTAATGAATCCAATAGGTTCAATAGATTAATATTAAACTAATTATTTTCATTATATCATTGAAATTAATTTATTAGAAGGTAAAATAAAATTGGCCGGTTATTGGACCATGGCCAGTAACAAGAACATCCATCCTATAGTTTTTTTAACAAATGTTCCTCATATTTATATCAAATTTTTACCATCTATCCGAGGATACCCCTTAAAAACTAATAAATAAATTATAAAAACTGAATATGAATGTCGAAGTACATACACCACATATATTCATCCAAATAACTTACGAAGGGGGTCAATAAGTCTTTACAAGAAGAAGGAAAAAAAAGTTATGCGTATGTAATTTCTTTTTATTTTTCAACATAATCTCCTTGAAGGTCGATACATTTTATTAAATGGCCTTCCAGTTTTTTTAAACCATCAGAAAAATATGATTTCTAAAAACCCTCAAAATAGGCATTTGTTTCGGCGATGATTTCTTCATTCGACGTGAATGGTTGTCCAGCAAGCCATTTTTTGAGATTAGGAAATAAGAAAAAGTTACTGGGAGCCAAATCAGGCGAATATGCTGGACGGTCAATTTATTCCAACTTTAAATCGTTAATTTTTGCCATCGAAACTGCACACGTGTGAACTCGAGCATTGTCTTGAAGAAAGAGGCATTTTTTTTGTTCAAGTGAGGACGTTTTTCTCTGATTTTTTCTTTCAGCTAACCTAATAATGACGCATAATATTGTCCAGTGATCGTCTGGCCCTTCTCCAAGTAGTCGATGTAGATGATTCCATACGCATCCCAGAAAACCGTGGCCATAATCTTGCCAGCTGATTTTTTTGTCTTTACCTTCTTT